CTATCAAATCATCCAAATCATTTGATTTTTTTTATATGATTTTGTAATCATAACTCAACACTTCATGCATTTTATATATGGGCATGACTACTCAATAGTAGTTCTATATGTGCAAAAGGCCTAAGGTTGGCCATATTTTCATGGAATGATGGTTTTGGTACATGGTTATGGTCTACCTCAAGGAGGGCCTTTCCAAGGTTGTAACGTGGCTAAGCTTGGGGTTATGAAGAATGCACAGGCTCAAGTATACTCCCAAAATCCCTTACTTTTGGTGCTTCTCAGATTAAAACCCTTTCTGTTTTATGTGGCAACTTCCTACATTAAGTGCCTTTTCCTTGTCGTCTCTCTCTCTCCTCTTTTTTTTTCTCTCTTTTTTTCTGACAAGCTCTGTTTCGGGTTTAGAACGATTGTTTACTTTCATTTGCATAGGATCATTCCTTTTTGGGCTTATACTAACTTTGTGTCCCCCTCTTATGTTTTGTTCCCCCAATTTTCTATTTATATCTTTTTGCACCATTCCCATCCCAAGGTATGGAATAATGTAGGTTGAATAACTAAGGGTTAACTGACGAGGCTCAAAAGGGCTGCCAAGAAGATGGATTTCCTCTAAGGTTAAGAACATGGGATTATCTTTGTGGAGTTTCAAGTTGCCTCCTGTGTTGGTGAAATCATCATATCCTTTCTTTGTGGGCCAAAGATGGGCCTCTTTTCGTTCGATAGATCTAGTAAGCCAAAGCTTATCAAGATTCTTGAAGTGTTGAGTATGTATGCCTTTTTCATATTGTCTGTTTGTATGTATGCGTTTTATTTTACGTGAGCCAATAACAATAAAAAGATTGAAAAGAGAACAAGATAGACGTACTTGAAAATATATTTTTTATTCATTAATTAATGAGAGTACAAAATAAGTAGATTCGACAGCATGAATCTCTTAATCTATCATAAAAAAAAACAAAGGAAAGAAACAAAATAAGACCTAGGATGCTACATCTTAATTTGTTGACAACTTCTTAAGATTGCGTCTTCGAGCTTTGTCCGTTTTTGACGTAGGTGAAATCCTCTCTAAAAATCTAGTCCATCTATATGATTCATGGTTTCATTTATCAAGTCCCTTTATTGTTCCCAAGGTATTGTAAATGGCACTTGTATGGTGGAGACATATTGTCTATGAACTTTGGGACAAGTTCATGATCCAGAGGTCTTTGTAAAAGAAGAGCATCCTTTGATCGCCACCTGGAAAAGAGGTCAATGAAGCCTTCTTCTCCCCCTTTCTTAAGCAATTCAAGATCGCGCAAGGTATTTGTGAGCTCGATGTTATCTCCATATTGGGTTAAAAACGCTTTTACAACGTCACTCCAAGTAGAAAATTGTTTTGCATCGAGGATATAAAACCATGATCTAGCAGTTGGGTCCAATGAAAGAGGAAAAAGTACATGTATATAGACTTTGCTCCACCTCTTTCAATGCTATGATTCCAATAAATCTCATTAAGTGAGAACTAGGATTGTCCAAATATAATCTTAGAGGTTGGTAAATCCGTAGTCAAGAACTTTTTTGGAAGAGTCTTGCCACCAGGTTGTGGTGCAAGCTCATAATTGAAGTACTTAATCCCTGAGCTAGCTCGAAGGATAAGTTTCTCCAAGGCCTCTAGTCTTTCGGCTCTTGCTTTTTCTTGCAGAATGTTTCCTTTTTCTTTCTCTGCTTTTATTTTAGCCTTTTCTGTTTTTTTTTTTTAATGAGCCTTTAATTGGGCTTTTTCTTCTCGTAGGGACTTTAGGATTTGGAGTTCCTGTCTAAGTTTCTCCAATGTTGCTTTGTCACCCATGATTGGACTAGTATGCGAATGTGGAATATGACCTAATAATGTGTGTCACGAGAAATTGAGCGCGTTCACTTAAACCTTTTCTGCCAAGCATTCAAACAATGAACCAAAGTCAAAATGATTGTTTTACCCTTTTTTTTATCCTTGTAATACGAATTCACTTTAAGCAAGTTTGTTGATGAAGAATGTCAAAAAATTCACGAACAATCATTAATGGAATGTCATGATTTGTGTTGATTTCAACAAGGTAATCATCTAAGGATTTTACTCTAAATGAATTGTTTTCGAAAAAAGTAGAAGAGAAAGAGAAGAAAGTTGGATTGAAAGTGCGCTCAAATTTTTAGAAATATTAATCGACCCGAACACACTCCTTAAAATGATCGAAAACTATAGTATTTGTTGAACATTTAGATTACAATAGAGATCAATATCTTTTTTTTTTATATTATGATTCTCATATTGCTTATCTTTGAAGGATAATATTTTACTATTTGCTTAAAAAGAATGATGGCCTCCAAATGTAAAATCCAAGAAATAATTAAACCATTTTCTCGGTTTTATCATTCATGATTTACTCTTTTTTTTTAGAGTAATATTTTTTGTATTATATTTCTTTCTTTATTTTTATTTTTTTTAAGAACGATATTTCATTTTTTTTCGTTCTAGTTATTTTTTTTTGTGTGTGAGGCAATCATCCCAAGTAAAGTTCTCGGGATTTTCTTTTTAAACCATAGAAGAGGTAAATATATTATACTCTTAAATCAAGGTTGACCAATTACAACTAAAAAAAATGATGAACACGAGAATAGACACGTAAACATATTGATAACGTCCTATTAAGGGATGCGAACTTCTAATGATGAACTTCATGAGAAATAATTCCATTAGTTTGATTATAAAATACGTTTATTGAATCACCATAATCAAAAATAGTATCGCGCGCAATTTTCCGTCTTGCGCTAAGGTGGAAGGTGCAACTTCTAGAGTAACATATTCCACATGCCACCTTTTTTTTTTTGCTTAAACGCAAGGAGAATGATAAAAAAAAACATGTTTTTGGATATTTCAAAAAAAACGATCAAAGTAAAAGTTAGACAACGTTGTTAGCCAAAGAGATATTTTAGCACCCACTTAACGATTAACCTTGAAGCAGTAATATCGTTTTCTCCGTATGATATTGCTCGTAACGAGTCAAAGTCAACGTTGAACAGTGGGCGCGCGTAAGACACAGTGTTGCGCGGAGATGCCGCGCGCAACTTCTGAACTTGCGCTTGGAGGGCGCGCGCAACTTCAACAGTTGCGCATGCCACCTGGTAGGTTCGACTTTTGTTTTTTTTTTTGGAAAATCGATGCTCATATATTTTTTTTTCTTTTTCTTTTTTTTTTTTTTTTTGTCGAACAACAATTTTTGCGATTTTTTTTATTATATCTCTAGGTAACAAGTTGGAATTAGTTAGATTAGACACGAAGCACATATTCATGTAGTCATATAAGCACATAAAAGGAACCGTCTAAGCATACAATGCCATTCTAAGGTCAAAAAAGGCTTGGGTGTCCAAGGTATCATATCTTAAGAAACGACGCACAAATCAATCACTCAACGAGTTGACTTATGACATCTCTCTCCCTACATTTTGTTGGCGATATGGGTGGGATGATTGTTATTGATTTCGGGATAGAAGCCTAGTGTTGGCAACCCCTAGTCAATGAGCCAATCCCCAATGTTTAAGTGTGCTATACTTATGCATGATGCAATGTTGCTTGTTTGTTTTTTACTTTTGTGCAAAAGGAAGATATTATGCATTCAAGTCTCGCTCACTAACTAGATATTATCCAAGTTAGTTCTCGTTACAACCCATAGGCAACCTGGTGTTGGAAACCTTGGATCATAACTACGAACTAATCATGTAACCTCTAAGTCCCCAGTGGAGTCGCCACTGTAAGGAGGGTGATCCCATCGTAAGGGGTACTCTCCTTAAATGCACATGGCCCTTTAAAAGCCTAGGACTTTACACTTGTTAGGGTGTATTAAGATTTAAATTCCTGACTGTTTGGGGGACCTTGAATTAGAAATGACTCAATCATACACGCTTTTTTGTAAGGAATAAGTAGGAGTCGCCAATGAGTTTTAGGAAAACCCATAAACCTTGTTCATGTCTTTCTCCCAAGTAGAGTTCAAGGGATATTTAGCATGAATCATAAGTTTACCCATGCCCAAATTGGTCTACATAAACCAGAAATGAGTTCGGAAGCAAGGGTACCAAGATAAAGTTCCCTTTAGAGGGGAATCGCGATCCTAGCCCTAGTGCGGCCTCTACTAGCTCTTCCTTTGCACAATTTCATCACCAAACAATATATGCAACGTGATACCTAAAACTATGTTAATTGATTTTATTTACACACATCAATTCACGTAGGAATTACATCGTAAGGTCGTTATTTTTATTTAATCAAATTCGTGAAAACAACAAAAAAATAAACAATATTCGCATTGGCTTAAGTGATCAACCAACAATTATTTTATTCAATTCTAATCTTTATTTAACAAAAGATATTATGTGGAATTGATTACTTAATTATTTTAAAGGTGATCAAACAACACTAATTAATTAATTAAGGTTCTTTTAAATAAGAAAATAAATGTGATTTAACTAAGTGCTCAGGAATTTACCTCTTCTCTTTGCTAGATCTCCGTTTAGAACACTTATGGATTCCTTCTTGTTGGGGAACCTCCACCGTAGTAACAAAGTATTAAAAGGGGTGAGTGTTTAGGACAAGAGGGTTAGGAAGCACAAGTTCACAAGTATTCTGCCAGCATTTTAGGTTATTTTCTGTGTGTTTAAGCCTCGGATTAGGGTCTTATTTACAGGAAAATAATTAGGTTAGGTTTAAGAGCATTCTGCCGTAGCAGGTGTCGCGTGCAATTGGATGAGTTGCGCGCGGCCATCGAGCGCAAGTGAATAAGTCGCGCGCCAAATTATGCGAGCAACCATTTGTCTTGCGCGCAGCTCTATGGCAAGATTCGAATTTCTGATTTTTTGATATTCTGAATCTTTTGCAAGCGCATCTCCAGAAGTTTCGCGAAGTGTAGCGCAACTGAATAAGTCAGCATTTGAATTTGCACATCATTTGTTATTGTTTAAATAAGAATATCAGCAATTTTAAAATTAGAAGTCCATAAAAAAACATACTTAGCTTTATCGATATCAAAATAAAAGATTACAACATCATTACATTATTTCAAAGCTACTACTAATAACACCATATACATAACAATAACAATTTCGACCACCAAAATGAACATAGTTAGCAAATTCATTTGTTTTGTGCATGAACTCATTGAAGTCTCTCCTCAAAAGTTGAACACCGGTAGCTTCAGGTGTATTAGCAACCCTACCTGCCGTGTCAGTAACAATCTGCTCCTCTTTAACCCACATGAAGAATTCACACAACCTGCACTTGTAGTAGGGTCTTCCGGGGTTTGAAACAAAGCTTGAGATTTAATATCTGCATATCTTGAGGGGGTCACAGTTGCGATTAACTGATTTGATTCACAAACCCTACCAAAGTGAAGAGGGAAATTCGAGAAGGAGAAGAGTAAATTGCAAAAGAGGGGGAAAACTATATATACACTTGGACTGGGTGGGTGGGTTAGTTTATAAACAAGGAGGGAAAGCAAGAGGGAAAAAAAGGAGGGAGTTTTTTAAGTTAAAAAAAAAACGAAAAAGCCAAAATTAACGTTTGTTTAACGTTAGGTTTACTGTAGAGGAGTGTGTGAAACTTTGGGTGTACCGCTGATAAACAATAAGTTAAGTAGATGTACCATTGATAAACGCTCGAACCTTGGGTGTACCATTGATAATTTCCCATTAAGTTAATATGTGAGAGGGCTATAACATAAATAATGAAAACCGTAATATTTCAGAGTAATAACCAGTAAAAATTAAACAAAACCCAGTGAATAAAGCATTACAGAAACATAGACAAATAAACACATAAACCAAAATCTAATCCCACAAATCATATCAAGAATCATAATTTAGCACCCACAACGGTCAAATAATCACCAAATTATGAAACAATCACCCATAAATATTATTTGTATAGTTTAGCTTTTGCCTTTATACAATCAGAGTTGGGAAATACAGCTATCTCCTGATTTTATTCCTCTTTCCTAACCTTATTATCCAGGGATCAAATTCAAAATTTCAAACTAAATTTGACATGTGCACAGCACATATCAACTTAGTAACAAAAAAGTAATAGACGGAGGATGACTGAAATTAACCTTATATAAGACACAAATTGGATAAAGACATCAGTGGTGGGATGTTCAGCAGAAGCTGCCTCAATGTTGCCAAAAAAAAGAAAAAAAAGGAAAACCAAATGAGCAAACAAAGATAAAGGAATTTTGTTCATCCATTTAGACCAACAAAAGTCACAATGTTGGATACTGAAATGAAGCAACATTAATTAAAAATGATAGTATAAACCACGCTATTTGACAAACTAATACTATCAAATCAAGGAGCCAAAAAATGAATAGTAGACAAAGTTCCTTAAGTTTTGGAAAAAAAACAATGACTGATACCCATTTGATGCTACTAATGATATCACCAACCGCTATGTTCCTCATTCTAAGTTTGTGAATTTAATCACCGGGAAAAGTCCATATTCATGAAATATCCTACCATATATTCTATACTTCAATAATTCAGTCCAAAATCTTTGAATCTAGTGGGATAACTAAATTAAGATTCAAGTTGCAAAGTAGGCTGAAAGTACATAATTAAACTGCAAAATACGTAGCGGTTACGTTCCTGCAATGATCTGAAACACTCTTACATTAACAATTCTACAATTAGAGCCATACTTATTTGAGAAATAAAAGCCAATTGATTTTGTTTTGATTTGAAACCAAACAACAGATTAATCTTTTTAAAATTAAAACCTTAACCGTAGTTCCCAACACTTGAGCAAACCAAACAGTAGATTAATCTTTTTTAAAACCTTAATCCCACTTCCCAAAACTTGAGCAGAAGCTGCAAAAGAGAAACACTCTTACACAGCATGCAAAACAATAGACCTACTAAATAACTAGGCGGCTCATCATAAAAAAGGAACAAACAATTTAGTCCTCCCAAATCCATTTTTCCAATAACTGAATTGCTGGAAATCCTAACTTCTCAATCAGCCCATTCTATTTTTAAGTAGTTGGAATAAATGTCATATCAACTATCATTATTTCATCCCATTAACCCTTATTAAGATAAATTGGTGCATGTTTCAGTAAGATTTTCAATTTAGTTCCATGTAGAAATGACTGAGAGAATAAAATAAGAAAATTACCAAATGAGGTGGAGTCGAGCTTGAGGATGGTGATGCGCATGGCACTGCCGAGCTCTAAGGTGATAAGGGTATGGACATCTGATAAAGATGGCTTCTTTGGGACATCGGCAAGAATAGGATCGTCGAGCAATGCAGCTAACGTCGAATTTAGCTTTGCCCTCTTCACGTTCTCAATGCTATACCCTCCTCCATCGCCTCCGCCGTCGCCGTCACTGTCGTCAGCCGAAGTAGAAATTATAGGGTCATTTCACCAGCCAACTTTCCACTTCTATGGAGTTTCACCCATTATTGCAAAACAATCAATCATCAAAACCCAAAAAAAATCCACAATAACAATCAAACAATTGATAATAGGTGAAAATGGAGGCTTAAACAACAGGGCCCTTTATAATTTGAAGTAAAAAACATTTAAAATCATCACGGAATGACAAAAGTTGCACAAAAATTACAAACCCCGGACCTATAATTTGCTAAACCATTCAAGGAAAATTCTTAACCTTTCTGCTTCTCAACCAGCAAACAAAAACAACAGCGAAATTGAATATTAGATCTACTACTAAAAGGGTATCAAAGAACACTTGACAACTCGCATCCTAAACTTGCTCGGTTTAAGAATAAAACTTGTATGAAACCCAGCCTTTGCAGTACACCCTGATCAATTCTCTCTTCATGAATTTGAAGAGGTTAAAAATCAAATGCTGAGAAGTGAGGATGCAGTATAGTTCTGCAATGTCTTGTTTGAGTTAACTTCCCTTGCTAGCCATACTTATTTGAGAAATAACAGCCAATTGATTTTGTTTTGATTTGAAACCAAACAACAGATTAATCTTTCTAAAATTAAAACCTTAACCGTATTTCCCAACACTTGAGCAAACCAAACAGTGGATTAATCTTTTTTAAAACCTTAATCCCACTTCCCAAAACTTGAGCAGAAGCTTTAAAAGAGAAACACTCTTACACAGCATGCAAAACAATAGACCAGAACATCAACAAAGCAAAACCTGGGGAAAAGGGATATATTTGGATTTACAAAACGTGGGGTTCTTGGTGAATTGAAATACAATTTCATAATAGACCGAAGTAAAGGGACATAATTGAAGAAAATGAACAAAAAATACAGCTGATATGAGGAGAAGAGGAATTACCTTGATTCAAAGAGCAGATATAAGGTGGGTTGATGATTTATTTGAGGATAAATGAAGGAAATAGTGAAGCGGCTGCTCAGATCCGCCACCAAATTGAACATCACCAAAAAAATTGCTAAACAAAAGCCCTAACCCTAAATAACACAGATCGAAAATTTAAGTTAATTTCGGAATGGAAAATTTGCAAATTACAGCCATTTAAAGTTCGTATTTTGCAAATTGCAGCCATTTAAATTTTTTTTTTGCAAATTGCAGCCCAAAATTTCGTATAAATTGTAAATTGCAGCCCGATTCAATTTTTTCATCGGTTTAAATGTTGAAAAATCTTCGGTTAGGGTTTCAGGGGTCATATTTATTGTTTCCCACAAATCGATACAATTTTATTACGCAAAACGAGATACTTGCGTTATTTTTGTGCTAATTCCGAGCTCAATCCGGATTTTTAAGGGCCAAAATGGCCTCTAAAACCTTAATCGAAGATTTTTCAACTTGTAAATCGATGAAAAAATTGAATCAGCCTGAAATTTACAATTTATATGAACTTTTGGACTGCAATTTGCAATTTTTTTTAAATGGCTGCAATTTGCAAAATACGAATTTTAAATGCCTGCAATTTGCAAATTTTTCTTTCGGAATTAATAAACCAATATAGTTTTAATACCTTATCTAACAATAAACTCGTTGCAAATTCCCGAGTAGGTAAAGATTAAAAAACTCAACAAATATCAGAATTTGATAGAATTTATAAAATCAGAATTTCAAATACACAAAAATTCACACTTAATCCATCTTACCTTAGCTTCAATGGTGGATAGAAAGCTCAGAGCACGCTTCAATGGAAAACTTGGAGTAAGCTTCAATGGAAGGAAAATAGAAGAGGAAAGAGAAAGAGAGTAGAAAGGGAGAGAATAGAAACAGATGAGTGATTGGAAAACATACGAAGTATTACTTATTTTTTTCATCTACCATTTTCTCGAGAAATTTGAGAGGCTGAGAGTTAATCAGGGAAAATGAAAAATGAGGAGAGAGACCACCCATGTGTACATGTAAATTAATTAGAGGGCAATATAGGGAGTCCACTGTAGATAAGGAATTCCAAGAAAATACAGGGGTAATATAGGCAGAACACTGTTCTTAAGGAGTTCTATTTTTTTAGTGTCTTGGTGTTTTTATAGGTTAAGGATTTCTTTTAATTTCTTTTTCTATTTTAATTTTTTTTATTGTTTATTTTTTTTTATTCTTCTTTTTGCAAAGTATTTACTTATAAAGTCTCCTCGAGCATAATAGTACGGTGAAGGTTTTCAACGAATTTGATCATGTAGAATAGTGTTGAAGAGAACGAACACTAGTTCATCAAATAGAATGGACCAACTCATTAGAAAATAACCTTGTACTATGGTTTTATTCCAATGCACAAATGACTAATTAACTAAGGCTAATTCCAATCATAATAGAGTTCAAATTTATCAGTATCTAAATTATGCAAGTACATACCATCACTTCGTGCATACCAAAAACAATCTCTATAAGCACAAGCTATATCAAATGGCACATAAACAAAAAACACTGAAAAGTCACCCTGGCCTTTAGACCATTTACAATTGCAGGTAAATCTTGTTGTTATCGGTCCAAAACTTACTCTAAACTTCCAATTAAATTCTTCTGAGACCTTGAGCGTATGCTCACCAAGATCATCATCGCGTGATCTGCAATGAATTGTAAGGATCTCACCATTAGGCAAGTCGTTGTTTATGTGCACTTTAAAATTTGGATAAAGAAAATCATCTAAAGAACTTGGCGGTAGATGTTGGTCGCCTTTACACAGCTGTTGATTACGAAAATTCATGGTACTACAATTGTTACAGGCTTGTAATTTGTTTTTTGAGGCTTTAATTTAACGCCAATTTATAATATTATGCCTTCTATCTTGTATTTTGGTAATGATCAAATCGAATATTGTAATTATAGTAAATAATATTGGTCGCTTGAATAATTATGCATATGATTCAATGTTCTTAAGATTATGCATATTGTAAAGCACCTTGATTCAATAATTATTCATTTAGGTTCATCTTGATTATATTCACTAATGATAAAACATTAAAACACCTTGATTCGCTAACGTTCTTAAGATTATGCAAAGTGATGTATAAAGCACCTTGATTCACTAACTATTCATTTAGGTATTTTTTTTTTAATTGGAAAAATTGACAAAAATAATCTCAACTTTCGCTCCTTCCTTCAAAATAATCCCAATCCGAACTTTGGGGGTCATTTGTTCAAAATGATTCAAGTGACCGGTAACGGTTAAAGAGGTAATTTAATTTTTGGATTTTTTTTTTGGTGGTTGAGATCTCTGGAGGTAGATTTGGCAGGGTTGAGGGTGGTGGTGAGGTGGTCGGTGGCTAGCGTTGATCTTTTTTTTTTTTAGTGTTTTTTTGAAGTTTTTATTTTAATTTTCAACCAAAGATATGACGACACGTGTCACATCAACCTGATATAACAAATCTGGTTGGGATTATTTTGATCGAATGACCCATAATGAACAGGCGAAGTTGGGATTATTTTTGTCCATTTTTCCTTTTTTATTTTCAAGACCATTTACGTAGTTGTTTAGGAAATGTTATAATTACCCAACTACAAAACTTGGTAGCCATTGTATTTCAAAGGAAATGTTATAATTTGCGTTGACCAAGAGGGTATAAATAATTGGGAGTATGCAAGAATATTGCCAACTAAGTAAATATTTCAGAAGCTAGTTGTACATAATTAACCACTACTACTACCTACTTAGGATTGACGATCATATCATATCCAGTGGCGGACCCAGGAATTTCCGACTGGTAGGTCACAATCGATAATCAAGTATGTAAAAAAAAAAAATTATCGAACAACCAAATAATAGTACTAAAAAATACATCCAAATATTCAAACAATACAAAATACAACCAAATGTTCATATAATACTACAAAAGACAACTAAATAGTAAATCTCTATCATCTTTATGAAATTGACTCATCTTTCTCCTCTTTCCTGGATCTTGTGGAAGATTAGCAAATTCATGTTCACTTAATCTTTCACCAAAGATTGGGGCATTAGGAGAACATTGGCCTTGTTCATTTTGAGGGGAATTTTGAGTTGAATAATTAGATGGAGATGAATGTTGTTCACTTTCTTGAGGTGGAGATATAGTTTGTTCACTTTGTTGAGGTGGAGATATAGTTTGTTCATTTTGTGTTGGATGTGGAAGAGAAGTTGAAGTAGGATTCTTTTTAGCAAAGAAGCTAGTAATGTTTTGCATTTCATTTGGAGTGCGTTTTCTCTTCATTCTAAAATTTGAATAAATAATCAACTAAATCAAGCAAAATTCCCCATAAAAATTATTTACAAAGATCATTTTACCAAACAAACCACAAACCACAATTCACATAATCACATGGTCAAAAAGGTTCAAATTTCATCAAAAAGACAAAAACCCAACAACATTAACAAAAGGTTCAAAGATTACCAAACAAACAACAACAAAATCAACCAAAGTTTAATAGAATTAACTAATTAGACTGAATTAAATTGAAGATTAGAATTTTAAACTAAAAATTAGAAATCAACTTACTAGCAAAATGAAAATAGGAGATTAGACTTTAGAAGAAGCGACGAAGCGAAGAGCGGTGAGCACAGAGGACAGAGCACAGAGCAGTGGAGCAGGGCAGCAGGCGAGCAGCAACCAGCAGGCCAGCAGCACAGCCAGCACTGGAGGCGTGAGCAAGCTAGCGAAGTCGTGAAGAGCACTGTCAAAGTGTCAAACATTTCACAAATTCACAATTCAGAATTTCATATAATGCAAAATTCTCTGAAATTGAGTTGATTATTGAACAATTAGGGATTTAGGGTTCAAATTTAGTATTACTAATTCATAACTAACAAGTAATATCAACAATTAAATAAATAAATAAAAAAAAAGCCGAAAGATGCATCTACTAACCTGAAATTATGCGAAGAGGAAGACGAAGCGAACTAGCGAAGAGGCGAATTGGAGTTGGAGATGATTGATGAAGGATTAAAGGGAAGAGGCGAATTGGCGAAGAGAAGAACTGAAGAAGGCTAGGGCTTGAAATCAATTCGTGATTTGGTCATTTGGGAAAGCTGATTTTAGTTTGTTTTTTTTTTTTTTTTTTTAATAACTTAAATTTGGGCCTGGTGAGTCACTTGACCCACCAGGTCTAAGCCCAAGTCCGCCACTGATCATATCATAAGAAGGATTGACGATTATATCCTACTCCTTGATTCTTTTTGTTGTTGTTAATTCTATTCCATGGTTATTATTGTATATAATCTCGATATTATTCTTCCTTACTTTAATCTCTAATCCTAGCCTTGTTATCTTTTGTTACCTTTCTTAGTTGCTTAATAAATAGTATATAATTAAGGCCTTTTTCTCTTGACCTAAAACATGCTTAACTAAATCTATATTTACAAAATTATGTATTTTTAGTGATTCTCTATTAATTAGTAATCACCAAAGCTAGCTATTTTCATTACGTTGCATCACTTATTCATGCATAAATATTTATTAAAATATAGGGTTATTTTTCGAAATATGATTTGAATTTATTTTTTTGGTGTTTAGAGAGCCACAATAACCGGGGTGAGAATCGATCTCAAGATTTCCGGGAATTGGGAGGGAACCTCTAACAACTTGACCTATCCCTCACTCTCATGATTTTAATTTACGACTATATATTCCTTTCATATAGATTGTGTTGCAGATGGTTGAACCACTTATTGCCTTTTATATTGATGTCTTTACTTTGGGTGTAACAAGTTTCTTCTCCTTCCCTGATGGGAAAATATTGATCAGAAACTCATAATGCAATTCCTTTTTTAGCTACCTGTGTGTTGTTTCAATGAATACTACAGTACAAGAGAGGGTGAATTTTAGTAGGACAGATTTGTAAAATTTTTTGCGGAAATAAAAACAATCAAGCTTGAGGAACTTAAAGTGCAAGAGAGATTTTACGTGAAGAACTCCTTGGCCCTAATCAAGGAGAAAAACCACGACCACAAGGGATTTTAGGAAAAGATTTTCACAAGAATAAAGTAATGACCTATTACAAACTAAAGACTCTTATTTCAAGTTCCTCTATGAGCTTAAAGCCCAAGCAACAAGTCACTAAACATGTTACTCTCCTCTTCTCTTTCTCTCTTCTCTTCTCCTAGCTTCACTCAAAGCTTAAACAGTAGTTCACTCGAACTTCCCAATTCCCCAAAATACAACTCGAAAGAATTAACTCTTGTATAAGAACATAAGAACACTCTAATTCACTAGTGTAGAACAGGACTCTTAACTCTATGTAAAAGATAAAATCTATTTGAGTAAGGGTGAGTTTTTCTAACTGAAAGAACTGGCTATTTAGACCTATTTAGCTTAGGAAAAACGCTTTGTGCAGCTTAACATTAACACCACTGCACTACTCTATATCCACTAAGCAAGTCATGTCCTAAAATTAAGAGCATGAACTCCTTAATGCGCAAGATCATTAATATATGCAGGTGCATGTGTTTGTCATTTTCAACCGATAATTGACAGATTAAAGTCGTATCACCTAATCAAAAGTAATTCCTAAAACCACTAATCAATAATAGATAGGGAAGTAGGGTCAAATCCACACTGAAACAAGTCTTTTTATTCCTAATAAATTAAAATAATCTAAACTATTAAGTAACCAAATTATTATGAGTTGAATTAAACTAAGGAGAATAAAAGTAGGGAGAAATCAATTAATAAAAGCCTAAGGCATAGGTTCACCAATAAATAATATTCCTGGGTAAAACACAATAATCATCATCAATACATCAATTAATAAGATCATAAAGGGCTTTCGCTACGTATTACAATCACAGAATTAATCTACTGGTATTAAATCGCATCTCTCGAATCTTGACTTAACCATTTATAAATTAACCTGCCTATTGAAACTAAACCTAAACATCAATTCTCATCTCTTGAATCTCGAATCAATACTGCATAACTAATACAATCAAACCTAGCAAATCTAATTGCATAGCATTAAATCAATCAAGCATTGACAATCAACAATAATAAATAAATTTCCCCTTCATATATTTATGGATCCCCACAACCCTTGAAATAAAACTACTCGTGCATAATTAAATATAAATAGCACAAGTGGTTAGAGCTCCCCTCCCGATTCCAAGTGATCTTGGGATCGATTCTTATTCCCCGCCCTTATGACTCTCTAAACACCGAAAAAATATAAACTAATCAAATCAATTAAAATAAACATGATTAAAAGAAATAAGCAATAGAATAAAGAATAATAAAAACAATAATAAAATTACTATAGAATAATAAAAACTTACTATAATTAAAACAATAATCTAAAGTTAAAACAAAGAAATAATTCAAAACTAAAGCTATGAAAATTACGGAAGAAAACTAAAAGAATCTAATAATTGAAAACAA